CACCTGGTCATTAAACATCCCGCACCTGGTTGGACCGCACCGGACTGCACCTGTCTCCTCCCTCCCGCAACCTCTCTGCTCCCGCACCCTCTCTGCTCATCGTCGTTGCCGAGGTAGTGCGTGTGCTCGTCGGCGTCGACGACGGCTCCATGAGCACGTCGTCGGACGCTGAGCCGCCGCCGTCCGCGCCGTTCGGGAGGGGCCTGCGCGACGTGCCTCTTGCTCCTTCGCGTCGCCGTGATGATGCCTCACCGCCCCTGTACGGTACGTCGCCGTCACCAGTAGCTCCTTTGCTCGACCAGTGCAATTTAGCTCCCGTAAAGAGTTCTTGGCCGCATCAATTGCGCGTACGAGCTAGGGTTTGGCCGTTCGTTCTACTCTCTAACGGTTTCGGTGTGGGGTTGTAGGGTTTTAGCAGTTTGTGAAGATCTTTCTGACAGGCCAAAAATAGGGCTGCGTCATGGGGGGTTTGCAGTAGATGGCCATGTTTGCAGAGATCTGGAGTGGTTATGGTTCTTTCTCCCCCCAATTTTTCATCGGTCCAGGGGTCTAGGGTTTAAGCAGTAAAGTTTGCTTTTCGTGTCAGAGTGTTAATTGGACCAAAAATTGTTGTAATTTGCAATTACATTGTCTCAGATTGACCAAAGATGGTTGCTTTTCGACCTGTAAGATCATACATTTGTTAATTGGAGCCATGAATCTCTGTTTTTGTTTCTAAAAAAGGAAAAAAGTATGAATGTTTTAACTGTAGTCTGAAATGTCTGAACCTCTCTGTAGTCTGAAATGTCTGAACTTTTTCAATTTGATTGTTTTGCATGTCACTTAAGCAACCACTTCTCTGTTGAGGTCATACATGGTGGCTACTTTCTGTGTGTTGGCAAGCATAGGGATTACCACAAGGGCCACTCCATTTGGTATGACAACTGTGACATAGATAATTGGACACCTACAGTTGTTGCCAGTCTGGTGGAAGAAATTGGGTATTAGTTTGAGGGCAGGATCAGGGCTTATTGGTGTGTTCCTGGGTTGACAGTGTACAAGAATGGATTAAGAGAGATTAAGATGGGAGACAACACTATGACAGAGAACATGAAGGATTGTGTTCTTAATGGGAATCAATTTCAACAAATATTTCTTGATCATGATGAGAGCCTGAGATCATATATTTCTCCTGTTCCTGTTCATTCTGATGATGAGGATCCTCCATTTGCCAAATTCAGTGGAAGTAGGCCAAAGAAAGAGCAAGTGCATGATCAAGAGGAGCAAGTAGAGCATGCGGAGCAAGAAGAGCAAAAGCAACAAGAGGAGCAGGCTGAGCTCACTGTAGTGGAACAGGAGCTGGCTCAGCATGATCAAGAGCATGATTCTGATCAAGAGCATGAGCAAGATGAAGCAGAGTTAGAAAGTGGAGCAGAGTTAGAAGAAGATGATTTCATACCAAGTCCACCCCAGCCTGGAACTACTTACCTTTCATCTCAGTTTGGGTTTAGGGCAAGGAAATCATGTAGGTTTTTGAACATGGATGCACCAGACACAGTAGTGCATGATTCAGATGAAGATTACATTCCACAAATTGTTGATTCAGACATTGATCTGCAGGATGATGATGACTTGTTTGACAAACATGTTGATTGTGAGAAGGGCAAAGGACCAACAGTCCAAGAAGAAGTTGATGATCCTACTGAAGATGTGGATATTTGTCTGCCATCCTCTGATGAAGATAAGGTGAAGCTGAATTTCAAAAGTTTTAGAGAGGAAGACCTGACTAAACCACACTTTCAAGTTGGCCAGACCTTTGGATCTGTTGAGTTCCTGAGGAAAGCTATCAAATAGTATAGCTGTTAGGAGAGAGTTGACATTAGATGCCCTAGAAATGATAGGAAAAGACTGAATGCCATTTGTGAAGATGGGTGCCCTTGGACCTTGTCTGCATCATTTGATGGGAGAATCAACTGCTTCATGATCAAGAAATACAACCCAAAGCATACATGCATAAAGAAGTGGTGTGTTAAGTCATTCACTGCTCCTTTTATGGCTGGAAAATATCTTGATTCTTTCAGAGCAGATGAAAACATGAACATGAAATTTTTTGCAAGGGTGGTTCAGAAAGATTGGAACATGACAGCAACAAGAAGCAAGCTTAGAAGGGCTAAGAGGTTAGTGAAGAAAGTTATTGAAGGGGATGAGTTGGAGCAGTACAACAGCATGAGGGATTATGCACAAGAATTCAGAAGATCAAACCCAGGGAGTTCTTTCTATGTGGGTGTCAGTAATGGCATATTTGCAAGTTGTTATTTCTCTCTGGATGCCTGCAAAAGGGGTTTCATGCAAGCTTGTAGGCCTGTCATTTGTTTAGATGGATGCCACCTGAAGACAAAGTATGGAGGTGTTATGTTGTGTGCTGTTGGCATGGATCCTAATGACTGCATTTACCCTCTAGCTTTTGCAGTTGTTGAGGTAGAGAACACTGACACATGGAAATGGTTTCTGTCAAATCTGAAGAGTGACTTGGGAATTGGAAACACAGACCCATGGACTATAATTTAAGACAAGCAAAAGGGCCTGATCAAGGGAGTGAGGCAGCACTTTCCTGATGCAGAGCACAGACACTATGTTAGGCATATCTGGCAGAATTTTCAGCAAACACACAAAGGAGATATTCTTAAAAACCAGCTATGGAAGTGTGCAAGGAGCACAACACCAGAACTGTGGGCTGCAAGCATGGAGGAAATGAAGGTCATAAGCCTAGAAGCATACAAGTGGCTTGAGCAGCTACCACCCAACACTTGGGTTAGGGGCTTCCAAAGAGAATTGGTCAAGTGTGATATCCTTTTGAACAACAACTATGAGGTTTTCAACAAATATATTCTTGAGGCTAGGGAGATGCATCTCAGATCAATGATTGACAAGATCAAAACACAACTCATGGTCAGGTTCTACAACAAAAGAAAAGAGGCAGCGACCTGGCCTGGCTCAATTTGCCCAAAAAATAGGAAAAGAATTGAGAGGAATATAGAGCTGTCAGCTACATGCATGGTTTCAGGGGCTGATGATGGCATCTTTTAGGTTGACAACAGGAACATGACATACATTGTTGACCTGAAGGAAGAAAGTTGTACATGCAAAAGGTGGGATCTTAGTGGAGTTCCATGTCACCATGCAATTGCATGCTGCAAACATGAGATGATTGATCCTGAGAGTTTAGTGCACTCCTGTTACAGTATAGAAGCATTCAAGCTAGCATACAAATCCATTATCAAGCCCTGCAGAGATAGGAGTGAGTGGCAGAAGATGAATGGCTATGAAATCAAGCCACCTGTATTTGAAAAAAAAGCAGGGAGGCCTTCAAACAAGAGTAGGAGAAAGCAGCCTTATGAGATTGAAAAGAAAGATGGAACCAAGGTGATGAGCAGACATGGAATCACAATAACATGTTCATACTGTC